TGTGTGTGTGTGTGTGTGTGTGTAGACTACACCTTAAAATGTATGGTATAATTTATTTTAAAGTATTTTCTTAAAACCTACACTCTATTTTTTTAGAAATGAGATTCCATAATCTCCAGTAAACAGTTTCTCTAAAACAAATTTAGATGCACAGTGAGCTGTTATTTTTTCACATAATCATACTTACAAGTATAATCACAACTTCCAAGTACTGGTTATGATGACATGTTTGATAAGGAGATAACCTCATCAAACATGCTGAGATAACCTGATCAAAACATGTCCTTACTAAGTAATATCTGTTATTCATTAATTTGGTCTGTCATGCATTTATTCATTAAATGTTTATTAGGCACTTCACAAGAACAGTCTAAATGTGAGAGAAATAATAAATAAATACATATGATCTATGTGTCAAACTTATAACATTTTATATTCCATGAGAAACCCTCTATAAAATATTTAAAAATGATAATATACAAAAGCACTCAGGCTACTATTAAACATAAATAAGTTTTCCTGAATTTTATTTGCTGCCACCGAACAAGAATCATAAAGTCAAAATTTCATATAACAATAAAATATGAAGCAGACTGCCCTTATCCCCACACACAAAATATACCTCACTGTGTATTATAGAAGTTAGACGTCACTTGTGAGAACTGATTTGGGGGGCATAACAGTAGTAATTGGCATTACTAATCTACTTAGGAGCTTCTACAACTGAAGAAGAAATACCATAACTAATGCTATGGTTTGAATGTTTGTCCCCTTCAAAACTCAAGTTGAAACTTAAACCCCAACGTCAGTAATAGTATCGCGAGGTGCAGCCTTTACCAGGGCATTGGGTTATGAGAGCTGTGCCCTCAGGAAAGGCTTAATCAATTCAAGAATCAATGGACTGAAGGGTTAATGAGTTCACAGATCCAGGTTATCCCAGGAGTGGGTTAGCTATCTTGAGAGCGGGTCTGCTATGAAAGCCCTTTTGTTATGTGACACCTGGGCCACCTCAGGCCTCTGCACAAAGTCCCCACCACTAAAGACCCTCACCAGATGCTGGCCCCTTGCTCCTGGACTTCTCCACCTCCAGAACTGCAACAGATGAATTCACTTTCCTTATCAGTTACCCAGTCTAAGATATTCAGTTATAGAAACAGAAAATGGACTTAGAACTCTAAAATGTTTATTCAGTCACTCAGTACATCTGTTCCTAAGTCCTCACTACGTGTGTAAAGGACTAAGGGAAACTGCTCTAACACAGACAGGACAGATGGATTTTCAAGGCTGTCTACTTAATGCTGATTTTCCGTTGTAAATTACCTAATAACGACATGATTGAACATGTGGATTTGGTTTTGTTTTTAAACATTTTTCTTTTATTTTCTTTAATTCAGAAATATATGTAATAGTCTTAGGCTAGTACCAAGACGTCTCAGTGTTAATAATAACAGCATCTTCCCTACTCACTAGCCGACCTCATTATGGGGCATCAGATCCTATATGAAGAATCATTTATTTTGGAATGTTTTCCTATGAAAGTTTCACTAATATTTAGATTTAAAAATTTGATATCCCAAGCTTATTTTAAAAGAACAGAAGGTTACAAAATCCATCATGAGAGGTTGAAAGTAAAACTTGGAATGAAATTTGCATGACATCACACATGAAGAAGAGTCAAGATGATACTTAACATTTTTTTATTATTAAATGAACTCAGAATTTTTTTATATATTTAAGAGTAACACTTTTAAGTACCTTTTTTATTTTATTTCTTTATTTTTTATTGAGATAGAGTCTTACTTTGTGACTCTTGGTAGAGTTCTGTGGCATCACAGCTCACAGCAACCAGCAACCTCTAACTCTTGGGCTCAAGTGATTTTTTTTGCCTCAGCCTCCCAAGTAGCTGGGACTACAGGAACCCGCCACAACCCCCAGCTTTCTTTTTTACAGACAAGGTCTCACTCTGGCTCAGGCTGGTCTTGAACTCCTGAGCTCAGGGCAATCCACCCACTTGGGCCCCCAGAGTGCTAGGATTACAGGCATGAGCCACTGAGCCCAGCCAGTAACACTTTTAAACACACACAAGCAAGTGTTCACACATTTGGATTTTTTTCCCTTGTGGTTTTGTCAAAAGGGTTTCAGCAATGATAAAAGAACAAATACCAAAATGCATTAAAAAGTTCCTTAATTTATTTTATCTAAAACAATTTGGCAATACACTATTTGGCACTAAAAATATCTCATGTTCCACTAACAATAGTAGAAGTTCCATAACATCAGGTTCAATTTTAAAAGTAGAGAATGATTTAGAAATTCCTTTCTTTATATGAGCTATGACTAGTATCAAAAAAGGCTTCCTGTGTAGGTTCAAAAACACTTGATATTGCATTTTATTTTTAATTTAATGTGATTCTTTCAGAGCCTATGCAAGTAAATATAACTTTTATATATTGTATAAATCAAATCAAATCATTTATATTTTTGTAGCTGGCAAGGTTTGTATGCAAGGTTTGTACTTTCTAGAAGGTAAATATAAATTTTAAATTAAATCATTTACTGTTTACCTAGAGATATAAGTGAAAATGGAAACATCTAATAAATTCTATTTTTAATCCTTTCACAGCACAAATCTGCTCAATTTTTAAAAGTTGAAATGTACCTTTTCCGAACACGATTCGTTTTCAATTGACACAAAAATAATATGTACTTTATGATAACTTATACAAATAAGTATATCTTTTTATTATAGAATTCAGGTTTCTACTGACATTCTGCCAGAATAAAATAGAATCAATTCCCCGTTACATGCTTTACAAATATTCATTTCTTCAGGTGTATTTAACAACCTGATTATAACTTCTAAAGAAGACTTAATCCAAGTCAAACAATGCATATAGAATCTGCTTTTAAACACATTAACTTTCTGAGGGACAAATCCCATACAGTCTTATTGCTCTGGTTAAAACACTAATATAAAATAATAATCTTTAATACAGCCAATTATTTTTCAAAGATACTTTTTAAGAGTATATGGGTGCATGCCTATGCATATATACATTCAAATATTAGTTGGGAAAGAAAAACAATGTTATGTTAAAATTGTTTTCCCTGACAAATAATCAGAAAAAATATATCCAGGTGATTTTTGTTGTTGTTTACCTCTAATTTCTAAACTAATAGCAGTCATAAGTTATTAATTTTTTTTTTGAGACAGAGTCTCACTGTTGCCCTCAGTAGAGTGCTGTGGCATCACAGCTCACAGCAACCTCCAGCTCTTGGGCTTAGGCAATTCTCTTGCCTCAGTCTCCTGAGTAGCTGGGACTACAGGTGCCCACCACAACACCCAGCGATTTTTTTGTTGCAGTTTGGCTGGGGCTGGGTTTGAACCCTCCACCCTCGGCATATGGGGCCGGTGCCCTACTCACTGAGTAGTTATAAGTATTTTTGTAATGTACTGTATTTATAATGTAAGCATTTTGTAATGTAAAAGGTACATTTCATATTAAAAATGATTATTTTTATTTGAGAAAGGCAAGATGGAGAACTGCTGCATACTATGTCATGTGTTTATAGCAATATGTGTGCTAACCCGAACTACTATCAACACTTTTGAAAATGTTATAATTTTATAAAACACTGATAGTTTACATAAAAACATGATTTATCTCATTTTTGCTTTTTTTTTTTTTTTTTTTTTTTTTTTACAGTTTTGGCTGGGACTGGGTTTGAATCCGCCACCTCTGGCATATGGGTCTGGCACCCTACTCCTTTGAGCCACAGGCACCGCCCTGAGTTATCTCATTTTTAACTGTAAACTCCTAAAAAATTTTATGTTAAAAAAAAGTAGGAAAGAATATATTCTTATAAAACTACAATATGAGACTGACTTATTCATTTACAAAAGAAAGTTCAAAAATAAATGAATATCCCACCTGAGTAGGAGCCATGACAGCCCATGTGTGTGTGTTTACACCTGTTTCCTCATTTCTATATACTCTCCAGGTTCCTTTATAGTTGATGCTATTTGATATCCAAAATAGTTATTGCTTCCAATTTATCAAATAATTTGTCCCTTCAAATTTTATATTTTACATCACTGTGTTTTTTAACTACTAAATTGCATGATTGTTACCACTAGTTGCTGTCCCTATCTGCATATTGGAAGTTCCAGAAATTCTCTCAGTGCTGCTTATGCACATTGCTATGGAATCCTCACAGCAGGCACGTGAAGTACATATCATTGTGAACTCTTTGTTACAGACGAAGAAACTTTAAGAAAGCAAGAGACTCAGTGAACTAATAGAACCAGAGAAGTAAGCGGTAGGAGAGTCAGGATTCAACGTAAGTTCTCATTTCATCACTGGTAAACTGATGTCTACAAATATTGATTTTGAATTATTTGGGTCCAATAGTAGTCTATGTTAATCACGTGAAAATGCTCATAAATAAGAGAAATATACATATCACTTATAGAAAGGGCACATCGCTTTCTATAAATTTACAACTAAAGAGTTGTACTGTTAATAACCATGCATTGTACTGCACATCTATGACAGGTGCTGTAAGTGAAAGTCATCGGGTTTTAATAATATAACAATGGCATTTTGGAGTAGTAATCTTAGCAAGTTCAGTCCATTTTATAAATCAAGAAACTTGGCTTCCTGATCCTGTCCCTTTTGACTCAATTTTATTATACACTGGATTAAGAAAACAGATGCAAAGACATTCAAGTTTCTAAAAATAGCAGTTTTTAAAATTACAAATTGACCACAATCAAGTGAGTTCATGTAGGATAGAAAAGCTACTCTAATAGTTTAATTTCTAAGATTGAATCATCCCTTCCTCCTCCTTCCTTCCTTCTCCTTTCCTTCCTTCCCTTCTCCCTCCCTCCCTTCCTTCCTTTCTTCCTCCCCCTCTCCCTCCCACCCTTCTTTCTTCCCTCCCTCCCTTCCTTCCTTCCCCTTTCCCTCCTCCTTCCTTCCTTCTTCCCTCCTTCCCTCCCTTCTCCCCTCC